CTGTTTAACTTTAGTATTGATTTAGTCGTAATGGACTGGTATTTCAGTCTGTGTCAGTGATACCACAAGCGTGTCCATACTAAATGTGACTGAGGGCTAGGCAGGGTTATATTGGGCTGTTATAATGAACCTGCGCTGTGGCCGTGGACGTAAGGTTCAAGCTGTTTCCATTACTGAAATGTGTTTTTCACTTTAACCAGTCAGAGAGGGCACACGCTGCTTTAAAGTCAGAGTCATATCGCACATTTTAAACCAAGCACATTGAAAGTTTGTGGCAGGAGGGAATTTTTAGACAAAAGCTTCGATTGAGGGTAATTGGCATTAGATGTAATGAAACTAGAACAGTATCAATTCATGATATATTTAAAGTTCTATTATACTGAACTTATGCTTTATCTCGGTGATAACACTTAATCATCTATTGTAGGACTCATCAATGATTCAATTTTAAATCTTTTCAGTAAGTTATGGTTTTATAGTCCAAACTTCTCTTCTTTTCAACATAGCCAGTTCGACAGCAACACGTGAACGATCAGTGGAGAATTTAGAAGCATTAGCCAGATATTTCCCTCAGGGTTGTTTTGAGACTACCAAGTAAAGACTCATACTGCCCCTTTCAAAAACCAAGTATATCCAACATGTGCATTTTATTTCCCAGATAAAACATTTCTTTATGGGTTGAGAGAATGTCTTATTCTTAAGCTGAATACATCATTGTAAACCATTATTACTAAAAAATGCTTATCAGAACCTGAACAGGTTTTTTTTCAGAGAACAGCATTATTCATAGTTTGAAAGAAGATGGAGAAAAAACCTCCCTGTATTTTACTTAGAAAGGAAAAATAAATTCCACAACTTAAACACTATTCAAATGAAAGCTGTAATTTACTGGAGTGTTGAATCAAAATTGTAGAAAATGTAAAAAATCAGATCGAGGTGAGGAGCCCCGAGGACGCACAGCCTCCACCCAAGCTACACAATCCACGAATATAACATTTCTCGCTTAATAATTAAGAGTGTTTAGATATTGTCTCATCATAGGACACGACAAGCCTTGTGAGTACGTGTGCCATTGCTCATTCAAATAGATGTTGCATGAGATAATAGTAAAATGTGCAGGGAAAAATCCTGACGGTAGCAAAACCTTCAAAAGTTATCTGTTTATTCATTCATGTTAGTAATATATATTATATTCACAATATTTGTTAGTAAATTGACAAAATATGCCATTCATGTATATTTTGACATACTGGGGGGTCAAGAGAGTATCCAAGGAGAGATATATTGGCTGGCTTCATTTTATTAATTTTCGCCACAGTTCCTAAACACCTTGGTTCAGACATCCTCCTCTTCTCCATATTTCCTTACTCAATGTACTATAAAGAAACATGAAATCACAAAATTTCTGGCCGATGCACACATGAAGTTTGAGATATTGCTAATAATAAACAAAGAGCTGGGATAGTGAGTAAAAAGGATATAAACATGCGTGGTCAGGTCATCAGTTTTCAAAAACAAGGATGGAAGGGAGTATCATTAATACCTGTAACTGAGAACGTTGTTTATGTTTTTTATATTAATTTATTTACACAAATTGAATAAAAATCAACAAGTCATAACTACTGATACGTGGCGACAAGGCAACAGCCAAAGCAAACGCTATCAACAAGAATGAGCAAATCCAAAAACACAAAATAAAACAAATCCAACAGAAAAAGCAGAACAGAAAAATGCTTAATCACACGAAACAAAGCAGAACCACAATACAAACCACAAAACAAATGCAAAGAAAAATGCTTCAATTTTCAAAACACACAAAACAAAAAACAAGTGCAAAAGAGAAACGCTGCAATTCACCACAAAACAGAAGTGCGGCCAGGTACTAGGGGACGAACAGACCTGAGACCAGACCTGAGCAGACCCAGAAGACTCAACAAGAAGTTGGCTAGTTTTGAGAGAGAGTAAAATTTAGTTTTCCTTATGTCTTTTTTTTAACATTGCGTAATTATAATATTAAATATTGTATGTTATAAAAATATTAATAATTTAAAAATTATATATCATTTATAACTAATATATATTAGAACATATGAAATTTCATCAATTATATATAATTATAATATTATAAAGATTACGTCAAGGTAAAAAGAATAATAGGAAACGTGAACATTTTTATCTCTTCTCCAAAACATCCAACTTCTTCTCTTCTTTTCATCTTTCAGTCTGTCCTCTAGTGACCTGCGCAATCTTTTTGTTTTTTGTTGTTTTGATATTCAGCATTTCTCTTTGCAGTTGTTTTGTTGTTGAAGTTTGCTTCGTCTGTATTGCAGCATTTTCTGTGCATTGTTTTATGTGTTTGTTGTTTTTGGATTTTTGCATCATTCCCGTGTTTGCAGCTTTTTGCCGTTTGCAGCGCGTTTGCCCTTGTCGGCCACCGTAGGTACGGATATCATCTATAAAAGTATATCAAAAGATTGTATTAAGTGCAAATATAAAGTACTAGTATTTGTTTTTCTTCTACTTTTACTTGATTATAACATTGTTGGATATTTCTCCAAAACCTTGTGCCGCAGAGAAAAGTTAGTTTGATGTCAAATGTCTCCTCCAACACATTCATCTCATTCTCATTCTGGTGTCTCTCTTCACTGTCTCTCTGCAGCAGTCCAGAGGGGTCGAATCCCTCCATCTCACCCAGGGATCAGTCCAAACTCCCTGGCAGGTGGGGTTGGAGGTGTAGTGCCAGGTCACATTGGGGCGGACTACTTCAATGGGCAGCCGGTGTCGGAGCTCATCTCCCAGCTCCTCCGGGCTGAGCCGTACCCAAACAGCCGCTACGGGACCCCGTACGGTCAGGCACAGATGCAGGGATCTGCGAGTGGAGCCTCCGTCATGGGCATCGACAGTATCTGTGAGCTGGCAGCCCGGCTCCTCTTCAGCACCATTGAGTGGGCCAGAAACATCCCATACTTCCCAGAACTTCCAGTTTCAGAGCAGGTCAGTCAAGACCGCCAGTGCTTGATTATCTCTTCTTTTCTTTTTTGAAAACAGTTTTAACATTTGTCTTTTCAGCCTAGAACACAACCTTATCTCTAATGTCATAGCCACTTTAAAAAAGGTATCAGGTATGTCAACAAAATCCAAAAAGATGTCCTGAACAGAAGCAAACATTGCATCCTTTCCTTTCCTCATAATTTTGTTCACTTTTAGTTTAACATATGCCTGAACAATTTCCTCCAAAATTCAAAGTTGGCTTCAAATACAAATACTCTAAAATCTGTGGTTCCATATCATTTTAAGTTGTGAGCCCTAAAAATGAAGCAAAAACTTCACATGTTATGGTTAGTCTGAACTTTAGTTGTGAGCAGTATTACCAAATTACAAAAAATCCTTCTTGGATTGTTTCATTTGGAGGCCTGAAGGGTTGAAAGTATCCATTGATTCAAAAAACATAATTTTGTGTAAAAAAAAAACCTTGTTTATCCCTTTAACAATCTCGTGTCCCCTTTTATATTCACTGCTGACCTCCAGATAAATGACATTTTTGGCGCGTCACAGTGGGTAAAGCACAGGTTCAAATAATAAAATCAATGATGGCTGAATTCCATTTAGCTGCTTTAGTTTCAGGGTCCTGATATTGTGCATGCTGGCAGTCACACATGTTTTCAAGGGACACTTGAATAGAACATTGTTCATGTTATTAGTACCACCTGTGTTTTTCCTACTATGAAAAGTCTAAATGTCTGCTGTGGAAAAGTTCTGCAGGGACTCGTTACTCTCAAGTGACCTTTTCTCAATTTACAATCCACCCCACAGGTGGCGCTGCTGAGGCTGAGCTGGAGCGAGCTGTTCATCCTGAACGCAGCTCAGTCTGCTTTGCCTATACATATGGCTCCTTTGCTGGCAGCTGCTGGTTTTCACTCATCGCCCATGTCTGCTGAGCGTGTGGTGTCCTTCATGGACCAGGTCAGGATTTTCCAGGACCAGGTGGACAAGCTGAACAGGTTGCAGGTAGACACGGCCGAGTACAGCTGCCTCAAAGCCATTGCACTCTTTTCACCTGGTGAGTTTGATTTTTAAGGTTAAATGAGTGGTGATAGCTGATCCCAAATGTCTTTATAGAAAAACAAAACAAACTTGTCTGTGTGAGGTATTAAACAGGGTTCAAGTTTCTGATTTGACTGAATGTGACCTCTGACCTCACTGAAGGATCACAATCAATTGATTGATTCCACTTCCTTGCCCCTTTAATATGAGGCCACAGCAAGGAGACCATTAGCTTAGCTTAGCATAAAGACTGGAAACAGGGGAAAACAGCTAGCCTGGCTCTACATAGATATAACATCCGCCTTTGAACACCTTTTAAGTTCAATAATTAACACGTTATATCGTGTTAATTCGTACACAAAAAAAGTCTAAGAAAGACTGGTTGTGGTTTTATGTTGAGTTATCTGCCTGATTATTTCTAAAACAGGTCCAGTGACTCTGTTTGAGGTGCTAATCAGTAGATTTAGTTACCTTTGGACAGATATGAGAGTGGGATTGATCAAAGAAAGCAAATAGGTGTAAAAGTAGCACCAAAACAATACAATTCTGATAATAATGATAGATTATGATCCTCTGTTTCTCTGCCTTACAGATGCATGTGGTCTGACAGACCCAGCACACGTGGAGTCCCTGCAGGAGAAGGCCCAGGTCGCTTTAACGGAGTATGAGAGGTTGCAGTACCCCAACCAGCCTCAGCGCTTCGGCCGCTTACTACTGCGCCTCCCGGCTCTGCGGGCCGTGCCGGCCAACCTTATCTCCCAGCTCTTCTTCATGCGGCTGGTGGGCAAGACACCCATCGAGACGCTGATCAGAGACATGCAGCTATCAGGGAGCTCCATCAGCTGGCCCTACGCACCGGGACAGTGAACCCAGCTAACTCCAGAGTGAGACGAGCCAAGATCAGATTGGGAGGAATCAGAGCTCACAAAGATTACATACCAGTACAAATTGAATGTTATGAATACAATCTCAGAAGTTTAAGGTCCTGTTTGTGAGCGTAGAGGTCAGCTTTCCCACATTAGCTCTGTAAAGTTTGGTGGAAGTCACACCAAAGCTGCTTTCAGTGAAACAAAAATGTGTAATTGTCTTTATATGTATGTTTGCAGCACTTGTCTGTTTTGCTCTGACCTCCATCTGATCTCTCTCTGTCTCATTCTAGACACACACAAAAAAAAATAGGGCTTTAATTAAATTGCAGACTCTAACATGAGGCCATGTGCCTGTACTACCTCCTCCCATATCACCCCTAATGTGACTCAGTTTGAACCCAGGCTCTGTGTGTTTTTCCCTCTGCTTTGTTTTTTAAGTCAAAATGAAGCCATAGCAGTGTCACTTTTACAGACAGAGCTGGCCTACAGTGGCAGCTTCAGAGCTTTATATCGTCTCAAGAGTGGGGACATGTTGTGTAGATCATATCTAAGTTGTGTCGTGTTTGATATGTTAGATAAAATATCAGACTTTGTTACCAAATGTGTTTGCAAAGACTGCAAAGTATCACCGTGTACAGCATTATAACAAAGAAGAGGCATAGCCATTGTATTGAATATTGTACTATATGAAGTACTGTTTATACAAGACATATTTTGTATGTTATATACTTAAAGGAATAGTTAAACATTTTAGGAAATACACTTGCACGCTTTCTTACAGGATTAGATGAGATCTATTCTCTGTACATGTCTGTACAGTAAACATGAAGCTAAAGCCAGAAGCTGGTTAGCTTAGCTTAGCATAAGGACTGGAAACATGGAGAAACAACTATCCTGGCTCTAAAGCTCACTTATTAAGCAAAAAAAACAACCTGTAAAACAACAAGTTGTTGCTTTTACACGTTGTTTTTTGCACAGATTCAACAAATTCAATATAATTTGTCAATAACTGAGATTTAAAGTGCCGGTTGGTGGATTTGTCACCTTTGGACAGAGACAGGCTAGCTGTTTGCCCCTGCTGTTGCTAGTCATTATGCTAAGCTAAGCTAAACAGCTGTTGGTTACAGCTCCATATTTACTGAGCTATTCCTTTAATATAGTATATTATATAATAATGTTCTTGCAGTCGTAGTCGGCAGGAAGTGGAGGTGAATGTACTTAAACACACCCTGGCTCCTCAGACAGTCACATCCCTGTCTAACATTATTACCTCATGTTTTATACATCAAAGACACAAGATTGTTTATCCATGTGCTAAAAAAATAAATATAAAGGGATCAATGTATCATATATATATCACAGAAACCATAAACAGTAATAATATTCCCCTGTCCACCAGACAATGGCCAAAATATGTTTGAAAATGTTTTGAAATGTAACGCTTGCTGTCAGAGGAACGTGTGAGCTTTTCTGAATAATCTCTGCACTCTGAAGACCTCTGCTATTGTAAAGGTAGAGGTGGTTCATTTTGACATATCTGTGGCCCCCTTTGTGTGTTAAAGTGCGGCCGAATAGACAGAGGTCATTTCCAGATAATTATCGTGCTTATGCAAGGTACTCCAAGAGTTGTAAGTTGTTGTAAAGGTTATGGTGTTTGTTGGTACTAAGATAAAGGGTACTAAGAAAGTCACATTCATGAGTGTTATTGCTATTAGCTGCAGCTCAATGTGACAAATGTTTTTCTTGCCAAATTAACTGACTGAAAGAAAAGACAATGTGGGGATAAACATGTGTTTTTGGTATGAGTTTTTGTATTACCGTGTTATTATATCATAAAGAAAAGGCAACAATGGCTGTGATCCCTGATGCTGTTAGGAAAAAAAACTTCATCAACAGCTCATCATGCTGTCCTTGAATCACTTTGTGTTGTTTGTTGGAATATAAACTATAGTGATTTTTTTTTCTGTGTAGCTTTATGATAAAAAGAAGCATGTTTCTATGATCATGCCAAAACCTAAAAAATGCAAAAGAAGTTCAAATGTCTGAGTGGTTATTTTTGCATCACTAGAAATAAAAGTGTGCACATTCCCTTCTGTGAATGACTTCAGTATCTGAGACATTAAGACGCTGCACATGTCTCTAAAAATCAAGTAATTAATGGCATAGTTAATTAAGAGACAATTCAACAGCAGATTTAGTCATAAATTAATCATTTCATTGGTTTAATCAAGCAAAAAATGCTAAATATTTTCTGGCTGCAGCTTCACAATGTGAGGATTTTCTGCTTCTCCCGTCTGAGGGGCGATTTCTTTTTTTCTTCCTTTTTTTTAAATAGATTAATACAAGACGGAGTAACATGATGATCTTATGACTTACAGTACTTTGTTAAATACAACCCGTCAAACTTGTTTGTCGTCAGTTTGGTGATAACATTCAGACTCATGCTTGATTAGACTTTTCTATGTTGCACCAACATACAAACCATAATACAGTATACATTAAATGTTCAGTACACAAATAGTGTTTGACATTTTGACATTATTTAAGTTTTTTATGCCAAGTATAATGTATAATTATGGTATTCTGGAAATTGTAAGGTTTAATAATTTAACTGATACATGTGCACAAACACCAATCATAGGTCAAAACATGGCTAAACTGGGCTGAATTAGAAGAGCCAGAAAGAAGAGCATGTGGAGAACAAGTGCAGTGTAAGTGGTTAGCTACATTTAATTAAAATAATAAAATATTAATGAGCTACAAGAGCTGTACCCCAATTACATTCTACATGTTGATTATAATCAGGTTTTCAGTATGTAGTGACACTATTCTCCCACAATGCAATACACAAAAGAAACAGACATAGTATACATGATGGTGAAACTGTGATGAAAATCATCTTTTATTCTGCTTTCTCTTTGTCAAGTTTAATTGGTGGTTTTACTGTGATTGATGTTCTGTATAATATCCTGTAAGTATAAAATTATAAAAGTTTTTTCAATACTACCTGCAACATCAGTATTCAATGACAATTAAAAGCACATACTGTGTACAATTAGTGTGTAGTATGGAATCGGGACACAGCAAACACTAGTAAAAAATCTCTAGTAAAAGGTTTTTTAAAGTATTTTACCATAAGAGGGCAGCACCTGCTCACATTGATTTAACTGCTCCCTGACAAAGAAGAGAAGTCTTCCTGCTCTCCCTGCTGGACGCTCACTGCAGATGCACCGAGCTGCAGATATCTCCAAACCAGGAGGGTCAGCAAATCATAGAGTAATTTATAAGAATTAAAACATTTTTAGAGAATTAGAAATGTTTATTACTGACTGAATTAAATTTTTTAGACATCATACCTTAAGGAAGTATACAGTTACAAAAATGGTCTTATAATAGCATCAAAGAAAATAAATTCATACAAAAATAAATGGCTCGCAAAGGGTTTGTAAAATGACAACAACGTTCTTCATAAAAATACAAATGCATGACAAAATCAAAAGTGTAGCTAAACAATTTTATAACATACACTAGATCGCAACACTTTGCACACTAAGTGGATTAATGCAAACATTACCACAAATGGAATCAGCAGATGATCATTTTCATTGGTACAGAATCAAATGAAAAGATGAGTGTAGCTTATAGACAGTGACAGAAACAGTGTTTCCAGTTTGTTGAGGAGCATGATAATAATAAAAAAAACATAAAAATAATCTAGATGTTTTTACTTATTTGCATAGCGAGTGAGTGGCCACTGTTAGAAAACAAGCCACTACAGGTCTTTAGTGCGTACAAGTACAAGAGATAATCTCATCACACATGCTAAGATATCTGCTGAATCTAGACAGATACATAGTGTAAATTTGTTCTCGGTGCGTAGTATGAACAGGATTTTATTCAAAAGTATATCCAATAGAACAATGCCAGACACATCCCACTGGCCAGTTTGTCCCCTTTTTGGTCTCACTGCATCTATGATAATCAATATCAAAATCTTAGCAAGGATACGGGAAAATACACATGGTTCCCGGCAGAGCAGTTAACCTCACTGACGCTGAAAGTTAGTTACAAACACTGATGCAGAAGATGAGAAAAGCACAACTAAAGTTCATTTGTGACCAAGATACTGCTACGCCAAGGGATAAAAGAAACTGCATATTTGCTCACAAACAAATCCCCAGCAACCCGTCTCACCCATTACTACGTTCTCTACAATACTGTTCCACCTCTTATCTGTGGAGATAAAACAAACAAACAAAAAAAAATTGCCAATCTGGAGAGCAAACAGAGCCACAGAAACTGACCACAGTGTTATCACAGGTGGCTGAAGGTCAGGTGACTTTCAAACAACCTCTCCAGCCCTCAGATCCTCACAAGTGGCTGAACAATGCAAACAATGAGCTGAATCTCTAGAGAACAGAAAATGGCAGTGCTTGCTGTGGAAGGTGCTACAGCTGAGGGCCCTGCTTATATTCTTCCAAAAAAACGTAGTTATTCATACACAACTGATCAGAGTGAATTAAGGAAAACACAAGACCATTTTTATTAACGTATAGTATGTTCCCTATGTGTGTGTATGAGTGAGCGTGTATCCACTGTGTGTTGGTTCTGTACAGGTAACTTTGGTCTCAGGATGTCACAGAGTCTTTTGTAGTGTTTTGGAGTGTATCTTGGTCTGCATCTGTGAGTGTTTGCTGTGGAGATCACAGAGCTGAGTGTTTCAGGACTCAGTGGATTCACGAGTGGTTCTTGTCGTAGTTCTTCACCATGCGCTTGATGTGGAACAGTTTGTGTCTCAGCCTGCGACACTGTTTCTTCTTAGATTGGTAGTCCGATGTCTAAAGAGCAGACAAAGCACAGATAAGTTGTTTAATACTAGAAAATACAGCATATATACATTCCTATTCATGGTCATGGTTCAGTGTAATGAATAATAATAAAATAATACACAGTGAAAGTTTTAGCTCTTCTGATTCCAATATTTGAAATATTTATGTATCAATGTATAAATGTATCATCTGTGATGTCTCCTCACCTGCTTCAGATCCTTCAACTGGTTATATTCATCTGCTACAGCCTGTGGAAACATAAGAAAAAATCCTTTGTTATGATCCGATTGCAATACAATACAAACTGAGGAATCTTGTCTTGCGCATTAACGGCCTTGATGATGAGTCTCAGTGTGTCTATTTCTGTCTTTTCCATATAAACTTGCTAACCCCGTTAGACTGCGAGATCACAAAATCATCAACAACAACTGAGAATCTAATCATGCAAAGT